TAAAGTTAGTATTTCTGACTCAGTGGGTTCTTACTGTTCATGTTCACCATAAGAACTGTGTATACATGAACTCAAGGTTCTGTATAAAAAGCACAGTAAAATGCATTGTGTTTTGGGATGCCACATCTGACCTGTTAGCTGTCATTTTCATGTGTCTTCATATACTTTTCTGTGCTGCAATGGTATATCAGTTTCACAGTTTTAAGGGAAAATGGAACTTCCGTACAGTGGACTCAAAGGTGGGGACAGAATGCAGCTGATCTAAATATTATCTGCACTTACAGTGGGCTGTGTTTATAACTGCCATTCTTGAAACACAGTCTAGAAGAAACTCTGTTTCGCTTGGACTGCTGAAATGTTTCTGCGATGTAATTTTTTTTAAATTGAGTGTTCTGAAGCAGTAGATACAGGAAAGCTCCACAGGCTCTGCTGATAATGCTCAGCTGGCAAGCTGTGTATGACTCTAGCAGAAATTTTTGATTCTAAAGAAAATGTGAATTTTCTTCCCTGCCTCCATTTCAGAAATAGAGATAAGAGCCTTTAAGAGGCTGAATGCTTTTATGAGAAGCTTGCGCAACTCCTGTTGGTATAAAATCAATAAACATGGTTTGTATCTTAAGAGTGAGGATTTCCTCCGTGGTGGTGATTTCAGAGGAAATAGAGTTTTGCTATCTGAGGTCAGTCTCTACATTTATGAATAATCCCTGCTGACTTCAATGACAGCTGCAGAAAGGATGTATCCCTTGTGTTCATCACCTTTGCAGCTTGTCTGACACAATGTGTGCTACTTATGTGAGAGGTCTCTGAGGAAGAAGAGAGTGTTCTGGAAGGCTAGAAGTTGTCTTGAAATGCTTACTAAATGCACTGATTGGCAGCAACTGAAAGTCTAGGGGAGTTCACAGATCATAAGAGTGGTAATTAATCATAATACCAGAGTAACTAGGTGGATGATCTGTTTGCAGTTTGGAGAAACTCCTGCACATCTCAGTTTTATGAATCTGTGGTCATAGCTATCTCATCAAAGTAGCATGCTGCATTCCAGAGACCTGCAAAAGCTGTACTGCACAAAACATTACTTTTTGTATAGCCTCAACAACTTGGTGCTGGGGTAACTCTGTGTCTCCTCGGTTTCCCAGTAACTGAATGTAGAAACCCCACTAATAATGATCTTTGCATAATCTAAATGGTCTATTTTCTATGGGAGAAAAAACGTTGTTATTTTATAATTCTAGGATTAGTTTATTGTTAACTTAGGTGCTTGCGTATTGATGTGCATGTGTGTGGTCACGTGTGGGAGAATTACTGAGGAAAGCTCAGCTTAGGAAATGGGCTTTGCTTTTTGTTTTGGCAGTAAGATGGTTTCTCTTCTTGGTGGGGAAGTGAGTTTCAGGACTTGGCTCTATGATCTGTGGAAGTTAAGTCTTTGCACGTTTGAGTCCTTTTGAGTGTGAGCTTCTGGAGGGATGGAGTTGTTACAGAATGTCGTGGAGCAGGAGTCAGTCTGCTCAGCATTAGTGCAGTGGGGACCTTGTCAGCACAACGGGCCGAGATGCAGCTCTGTCCCAAAGCCCTCATTGGCCTCTTGTGGAAAAGATGCCCAAATGCTCAGCATGACTCCCCAAATGTCAGGGATGTAGACTAAGATTTGCAGCAGGGAATGTTTGGATGATTTGTAGGAAGATACAGGCCCAAATGATTTCCTAAAACATGTTGACTAGCATAAAAATTGATATGAATCAAGACTGTTCCCTGGTAATTCTTGAGCTGGAAAAGAATACAATTTACCGGATGAATAATTTGCTGTGAATGGTTTGTTCATCTCTAATCTAGTGTTTTCTAACCAATTTTTTATTATGACAAATTACCAGGTTACAGATTTATTCAGGCTGTGGTTTGAAACAAAAGATCCTGTCTTCCTTTGCAATGGATCCAGCCTGCTGAGCTGAGTAGTGACAGCTAGTGCTCCCGAGCTTGTCTGGAAATGAACATTCTTAGATATAAGTGATCTGTGATTAAAACATTGTATTGCTCTGCCTCATTCAACTAGCTTGTTTTAATTTTTCAAATTGAATGCCAACTTTTGGTAGCAGTGACTGCAGTGTCGGGTAGGCTCCACAGAGTCGCTCTGCTTAGCGCCTGCGACAGATAGGGTGGGCTGTTCGTGCATAACGATAGACTTGGTAGTTACTCACTGGAAAAAATTGCCAGAAGGGACTAGAAAATATTATTACTGGTCAGGAAGCTTTCTCTGGTGAGGTTTGTTCTACCTGTTTTGTCATGGGGAGTGGCTAGCCCATTCCAGGGAGAAAGCTGTGGGCTTTGTGGTGTGCATCCTTCATGTTCCTCAGGCTCCCTCAGGAGAGGCATGCCTGGTGGATTGGCAGACTTGCTTTCCTGTGCTAGATTTGTGGTTGTGTGCATCCCTTTCTGCCAGCAGCACAGCTTTGTGAAATTTAAGAGTTCTGTTTTGGCTGCAGGAATGATGTAGTCCTTTTACATGTTTATCCCTTGAAGCAGGAGGTCACTAAGATATTAAAATAGGCTATACAATTAATTTTCTCATGTTTAAGAAGAGATTCTGTGTGTCCCTCCCCCCCCACTTCCCCCCAGTATCAGTACCTCCTCATAATGATCAGCCTATGCTTCCAACTATAAGAATAAAACTTGACTTGCCGGTATGTAGGTTGCTGCTCTATTATGAAGATTTTCTGCTTGTGCTGCGCAATTATGAAGGCAAAGCTTGTAGCACGAATTTGCTTATACTGAGGTATGGTGTTTTCAGCCTTTTGGGACTATGTCTTTGGAATTTCCAATTTGGAAAAGACAGGTGATCAACACTCATTCACAGAGAAATGAATGCTCCTTAGCAGGAAGCAGTGCTACTTACTTGATAATGTCTTGCCACGTTTTGTTGTATTGATGCAGTGCAAGCTGTTACTTCATGTTTAAAGGTATTGGAATCCAACTGATTGTTACTAGTTTAGAAGGCAGGATTTATCTAGGTATGACTTCTATGCTTTAGCATGGTAGCTTCATCAGTAAGACAAATCACTCTTCAAAGGTGCCTTTCCTACCCCTCTTACCCACTCATCTCTAGCACCCTGTAGTAGAGTCTGTTTCTTTCCTTTGACTGATAGGAGTCTGTTACCCTTTAAATGGCTAACTAAATGGCATTGAAATCAGGTGAGATTAGTGTTATTCTAAGAACTGTTATCAATTTGTACTAATGTAAGCATGCTAATTACACAGTATGAAATTCTTATAAAGAAATATAGTAGTAATAATTTTTTCAGATGAAGTGCTCCTCGTGTTGTGACTATTAGTCTAGTTTATGATGATACAGTAGAAAGAATTTCTCAATCTAGTGACTAATGTTTTTAAGAATGCTGTATTTGTGAAAAAGTTCTATTTTGTTGAAGTTACTCTATGTGAGGGAAAGGTTAGGGTTTGTTTTAGCACTTTTGATAAAAATTTGAACATACTTAATTTGCATAAAACATTCCTACATGACATAAAATACCTTTTTAAATGAGTAGTCATATACAATTTCATGTGTCATAGAGGAGATTTCATTGTCAATACACGAAAGCTGGTTACAGGACTGAAATGGTTTAATTTGTCCGTTTAGCTGAACTCTGTGTCTCCAAATCCTGTGTAACTGATTGCAAGGGATAACAGCTATCATTTCAGCTAGGCAGGAGGGGGGAAATGGAAGCAGAAGAGTAACTTTTCTCTGGTCATGTTATAATGTAATTTGTTGTTGTTTTTTTTTTCCTTTCTTTTTTTTTTCTCCTTTATCAGTTCTTGAAACCTAATTAGTAGTTTTCTGGTTTGCAACCAGTATGAAAAATAAGGCAATTTGTTGTTCAGCTTCACATGTGCTTATGTTGTAAAGCAGACTTGTAAATGTATATAAACATGTATATAGTCATGAAAACATTCATGAGACTTAGGGTGGTCTCAGCTGGTATGTTGGAAGAATTAGCAAATCAAATGTCTTCAAAACAGATCTAGCAAAATGTCAGTGGATTTAATTTTTTTCTTGTTCTTAAATAGGAACATTTTTGTAAATGTTCTTGCTTTTCTGTGAGCCTAATTTCAAAGGATATAAAGAGGAGAATCTCAGATTTTGTGAGGAATGCAGCTTTCACACAGTATTTAAGATGTCTTTTTGCATTATGTAATAGCCCAGCTTAATAAAAAGTCTTATACTAGTTCTTAATGTTAGTTTCTTTCCATTTATGCCAAGATAAACAGCACCTCATTCCTTTTTCTCAGTAAAATATGCCCCCCCCCCCCCTTTCTAATGAGATAGTGTAGCAAGCCATGTAGCTTTCAGAAATATTTGTTTCTTAAAGGCATAAGTTTTAATTGTGAGTAACAAATCTTTTGGCAAGAAGTTGGCCTCAGTGTCATGGTTCTTTTCTAGCAAGGGCAAGCAATATGGTGGATACCAGGTGCCACACTGATCGTTTAGGCTTTGAGCCTTTTCCTCTGTATTTTCTCCCTGATTACTGTCATCCCAGAGAAGAGCTTTGTCGACAGATAAATGTTCTCCTATTACGAATAAGATGACAAGCAGATTAAGGAAAGCAACTTGACTTCGAACATTGCTCCTTGCTGCCCCAGAACTGGGCAAATCCGAGGTGTGCTCACACACCTGGGCTGGAGGCATGGGCAGCAGCCTGCTTTTGGATTCTCTCTCATAAAGCCCAGATCAGGGAGTGAAATAAAATGGAAAAAAAAAGAAGAAGAAAAAGAGATTGAGAGAAGCCAGCAGCATGAGATAAAAATTGGGCAGGGTAAGCAATTGTAAAACTGGGACTGATATGAGGCTTCAAAGTTGCAAATTTGCCAGTAAGCACTGGTGGTGAATAAAAAGGGATCTACCAAGCAAAGCTGAGAACGGGGATCATGCACCTGAGAAGCTATTGGTTTTTCTCAGAAATAACAACCTTTTTTCAGATTTTTACCACTTTCAATTGACCCATAGCCAGAACTGCAATTAAGCTTCAATATGTTTTATAAAAAATAGTACTTGGTTTACTTTCACATAAGTGAAGAGATACAATTGCACAATGGTGGTTACAATGGTAGAAATACATACTGTTGATAAAATGTTTGCAAGAGATTTAAAAACATACTGTACAGCACCACATCTGAAATTGGGTGATGGCAAAATGAATCATACTCCATGTCCAAGTAAATTAAATTCCTAAATCTTTCTTTTGGAATAAATAAAAAAATACAGTGTGCAATATGTGTCTGATACTACCAAAATATTTCCTGAAGTTAAGCAATAGATTAAAACCAAAAATGAGGTAAAAAAAGACATTCATGCATTTAAGCCACCATTAGTCTCTGACTCTAAAATAAGGCAGATCATAATCTTTTAAAAACTGTCTTTAGCCACTTAAATCCTCTTGAGTGCTTTTCAAGACAAGGTCTTGATAGACCTTGTAGAATCATGAGTTAAAATACTTTCATTTCCAACAGGTCATTTTTGACAGGCTCAGCCGTATTTGAAATGCATTATATGGTAGAAAATGTTGCTTTTTCCTGAATGAAAAAAGAAATGTAAATTAAAAGGAACTGAGAGAGATGGATGCTTTTAGAGTTTATCACAAATGACACCCCTTTGAGGGAGGGAGGTGGGGGAAAGGGAAGGGAAAGAAAATTATGTGTCATCTTCAGTTTTAATGACGTGGAAAAGGGTGACGTTAAACAGGACTTGATGTCCGTTATTCCAGGCATAGAGAGCTCTATCTCTTGCATTGTAGTCAAGCATGGATATATGAAAATACTGATTATGGAAAGGAATGTCTGTATACTCGTAGGTGGAGGTTTTTGTGGAATAAGAATAGTAGACCTTGGCTCCTGTTAAGTGAGAGTTAGTAACATACAAGGTGCCACAGATCATGAAGGATTCTCCAGCACTCCTCTTTGGGTAGCCTGTGCTCCAGCTCTTCAGCACCTCCAGCGTATCCTGGTTTAGCTGGCTGATGACAATGTTGCCTGCATTCTGGTTGGTGGCATACACAGCCCATAGCCCAATTTCATCTGCCATCAGGTCAATATCAGAGAAGCCACCCCAGGTGTAAGGGTAGACATTGTGAAAGCCAGCATACTCAAGGCTACGCTGTGCAAGCACCCGCCCAGTGTCAAAGCTGTATTTGATGATGATGTTGCTCTGATACTTGTTGAAATAGAGGGAGCCATTGTAGACAACATGGTTGGTTCCTGCCCATTTGAATGGAAGGTTGTATGTCCTTGATTCAGCCCCACTGACAAAGTCTGCAATTGATTTATATTCACGGACAATTTTATTGTTAGTGTAACTATCCATGTACCAGACCTGGAAAGAAAACAAAGATTGGGAGTAAACAGCTGGAACACAATCTGTGGTACATGATCATGATATAGCATGATGGATACATTGCAGAAAAAGAAGGAAAAAAGGTTTTAGGTGTGCTGCAGGCTATCAAAGTATAATATTGTCCACATTCCTGTTAGAAAAGCATGAGGAACTCTTGAATTTCTCAATCAAAACTTACCTATACAGGTGAACTCTCAAGACGACTGTTACTAACTACAGTTATCTGCATTTTCAGAGGAATTTAATTTGGGGTTATTTGGTGTTTGGGTCTCTGCTATATGGGGCTTGCTTAAAGATATTCTGAGAGACTAATAATAAAGAGAGGGACGAGAAATGGCATGTGAGCTAAGCTTGGATTTATGCTTAGGAATAAATTTGGTTGAATTTTCTTCAGCTGCACCTCTAATTGGTGAAAAGTAGTGTATTCTTAGTAAAGGAACCAGATGCAACAGCAATGAAACCAGTAAAGTTTAGGAACCATTTTTGTCCCCTTAAAACAAAACAAAATCAGTACTTTTTTTTTTAATGTTCTGTACGCTAACTTTCATTCCCCATTTTTCCCTTCCTGCATTTTGCCTTTTCTCCTTTTAGTTTGTGAGAGAACAAATGAAATCCTGACTAAGAAAAGAACAGAATGATTTCTGGAGATATTTTTTGTGCTGATTTCAAAACTGGCATTAACAAAATATTTGTATAAACGCCAGTTCAGCCTTCCTCTTCCTATTAGTTGGGATGCTGTGAGGGATATGGTTTGTTCTAATTTGCTTGCACAGGGGTAGCCTTTGTGTTACTTTAAGAGGGTGGCAGTGGGGGGAACGTGGAGGCTGTCTGGGGAGGGGGTTTGGTTGCAGAGAGGGGGCTATAGCGGGGAGTGGGTGCTGGTGGAGGTGAGGGCCCATGGGGATGGGTCTGGAGCAGCCACCGGCGGTCTGAGAGGGCAGAAGAAATTTCCTCAGGAGAAGATGGGGCTGAGCAGAGTTTGCTGCTCTCCTGGAGGTAATTGAGATTCCTGGGGTCACTAGTAAAGCTGCATGGATGCAGTGGGGAGGGGAGAGCTGCAAGCGAATCTTTAGTTATTACCATTTGCATGCTGCCTTTTCTGTTGCCTTTGTTTTTTTTCCTGTATTCAAAAAAATTATCCTTGTGGGTCTCATACAAATGAAACCTAGTATTTTGACTTCAAAAGCCCTTTGATGGAGAGGGCATCTCCTCAAAGCTGAGGCCAATTCGAGATCCTATTGCAGATCCAAACAATAACATGACTTGGCAATAACACAAGGTGGCAAATGGTCTGAATACAGCCTATATGGGGCCTAATCCTGCAAATCTTGACTGTGCTGCATTATGGGTTATGCTCTTAGGTAAAAGTGTTGATATTTGTGTTGTATTACTTGGGTTCTTAAAGACCCAAGCTCAATTAAATATGGTAGGAAGAAAAAAATTGCATAGTTGGTTCAGATAGGGGCATGTCATCCCTGAAATAGTTGCAGGAAATGGCACGAAGGTGCTTAGCTAACTTTTGTCTTCAGATATTTGTGCACAAACGCTGTTGCTTTTTCTCTGAAGATGTTTAACAGTGAAAATGATAGAAGTAGAAGAAACATGCCTGTGAGTGTAACCTCCTAGGGGGAAAATATATTTTTTAAGATTAAAGCAAGTAAAACTCTAGAAGGGCGCAAAGATATTCAGTGCCTTAACGTACTCGGTTATTTTTCTCTGATGCTAATGGATCTGTCATCCAGGCTCCAAATCGGGTTCCGGATATCTTGACTGTAATGGGGCCTGTAATTTTCATCAATTTGCCACATGCTGAAATTAGAAAATAAAAATGCATTAGTGCAAATAATTACACAACTCTCCTTGATGTCAGTCAGAGCATAAGACCAATAGTGTCTTCAGGGGATTTGGGCTTATGTTGAAGATGGACTGTCATCTTCACCATATGAACTTTTCCATATCGAGCAGTAATATAAATATGTAAAAATATACAAATAAAACTTTATTTGTGTATATTTTTGATTTTATAAATATTTTACAGCACTGTTACTTTTTCTGGGCATAAAGAAAAATACAACCTAGTAAAATATCTTCTGAGCTGAAGTGAATAACATTCAATAATAAATGAAAAGAAGACATAACCCCCCCTCGCTTTTGCCTTCAGAAAGTTCAGTGCAAGGCTAGCATTGATGGATGTTTCAGTTTTCCATTGACAAGGGTAACAACGAGGTTAAGGGCAGACAGGAAGAAATGAGCTTGTATGCAAAATGTGTGGCTGTACCCAGATGCCTGTGTCTGACTGCCCTGTGGTCACGCACACGTAGCCATTCCAGTACTAGGGGCCTGTCTGAATTTAAGAAAGCGAATATGAGAATTATTCAGCAGCCTTGGCTGTATCGGTTGGCTTCTAATCCATTAGGCTGCCCAGTATTAGACTGTCTGGGAGGAAATAATGAGAGTCGATATGATCTTAGATGGTGACCTTCCCAACAACCCAAAAATCTATATTTTAGGGGATATTAATAACATACTTAGCTATAAGCCCCTCTTGGAATTCATATGTTTACCAAGAGGCTTAATGTCACACAGTAGTGTGTAGGTGATTAGGTGAAACAACATGTTTTTGAAGAAAATATGTTCCATAAGAATGTAAAAAAGTAACATATTTCATTTTTTAAAAAAATTTTAAAATAAGTGCTGCTCTGTGATACATGGTTGTGCTATATTGTATAACCCTATCTGTCTAGGAAGTGTGGAAAACAAACTGAGTCTGGTGTTGAGAGTGAGTTTATGCAGTTCAAAAGAGAAGGTCACATCAAGCCTGGATTTTTTTACTTTCTGTAACTGGCAAGGAATGTACTGCGCAAGCCTGTTTTGGTCAACTAGAAGGGGGTTAATGCTGTGGTGACAACTCGGGCTGCTTGTGGGGATTTTGTTCATGGACAGGGAAGTGGGGTGTAATGGAAATGAAGATAACTGAGTACATGCTGAGACCTCAATGAGCAGGGTAGGCTGTGTCTATTTTCTGGGTCAATTCAAAGGCATTATTATTTACATATCTCAATCTGTGTATCTTAGTCTTTTGAAGATATTTTGGACTTCCCCATTTTAAAGAATTTTGTAGGTTTTCTACAGTTCGTTGTCATAGTACATAATTTCTTATTCTGGAATTTTTTGTAGATAGGCTGCTAGTGTGCCAAGTGCTGTTTTTCTACAGCAATGAACTGCTATTAGCTTGGAAAGTAGAGAACTATATCTTATCAAGGTGAAGGTTTTTATTTTTAGGTGGTATGTTAGTAAACATTCTCAGAAATGGGCATGAGGTAAACAGAGAAGTTTAATTTGGAATATGGAATATTTAATTTGGAATAAAATTATCCAAAAACTAATAATGAGTAGAAAGAAATCAGGAAAAAATTAATTGCTCCTGAATCTGTAGTTTTTGAGAGAATTAAAATACAGTGAATGTATGAGTTAAAGGATATACCAATTAGTGCCTTTAAAACACGGTACTGAAATTAGTAGGAAAACATAAGCAAAGAATTTGGAATTACGAAACACCGTTTCTTCTATTTAAAAAAAAAATCCAGGAAGCTAAATGTGGAATCAAAAATGAGGTATGAAATTTTACTTCTGAATGGACAGAGAGAAGAGCCCATGGCAGAGATGCGGGGGTGCTGAGGGAGCCCTCCTGTTGCACACGGCCTGGGTAAGGCCACACGTTGGGGCAGGCATGGCGGTACGCACAGTCCGAGTTGAATTTGCAAAACTGTCTGCAGGCACAATGACTTCTGCCGAGGCCAGGCAAAACAGCCATGCCAGCAGGTACTGTGAGCAGCCAGTGCCCGGCGAGGGGAGTCAGAGGACAGGGCCAGCGAGCCGGCTCCCACAGCCCAGGGGTGTGTGTGTCTGTGTGAACCCAGGGGCTTTCCACCAGCGTGGATGTTAGGGGATTGCAGGGAGCAGCACGGGCACACACCAAGCTCGAGGCCCCACATTTCCAGCAGGAGAGGTGTAAAAGCTGGGTGTAAAAAAGGGTAAAAGAGGGGTGCTCGTAGCCCCTGCCGGCTGTTGTGGGGGGTGTGCGCGTGTACCTCCATGTGTGTTTGTGGGCATTTATCAGTCTTTTTAACAGCTTTTTTTACTGGTTGAAAAGTTTTGGTTTATAGCAAACCTCTGCTCTTTAATTCCCTGACAGAAGGGCCAGATGCTAGTGAGAAGGTAGGCCAAATACATCTCCATACAAGCAAATGTCAGGAAGTTCAGGAATGCTATGAAAAAAGAAAAAAAGTGATATTTCTAGGCATTTTTCCACCACTAGAGGTTCAGATGGGGTTACACAGAAAAAGAGTGGTATTTTTAGAAGCACTCAGTCTCACTTTCCCTTGACTTTGAAAGAACCACCCACCTACATTAGAAAATCCCAACCATAACTGCTTGTAGAAATTGTGGAAAATCAAACCTCTGAGTGTTTATCCATCTTAAATTGAACTGTACAAGGAACATCGTATCATGCACAATCTGGGTGTTTATGGCTTGATTCATCTCTTGTAACATTTTTGTACTGTGGACTCCAGTAAACCTGTTTGTGATTTCCTGTATTTATTTATATTAAGGAAGAAGCTGAGGACAAAATGGCAGTTAAAAAAGCAAGCAGATGTACTACTCCTGTAGGCTGGGAAAGTCTGTGGGGCAGAAGGCATCTGGAAAGCTGCTCCAAAGTGAGCAAATACCAAGAGAAGGTTGTGATAGACCAATTGGAGAGGAGCTGCTTTGAAGGACAGCTAGGAATAGGTAGTTGATAGTCCTAGTCTCTGTGATGCAAAGGAATATTGGTAGCTGGTATATATACACTGAGTGAGTATATGATTTATCGAAGGACTTGCAAGGGAAATAAAATCAAAACATTCTCTTGAAGTTTCATAAGCATCATTATTATCTACCATAAATAGGGGAAAATGAAGTGAATTTTTTTTCAGTGGTTGCACAAATGACTTCCAAGTGTTTTACTACTTGCACTTTTCTGTTTATGGTCAAATTTGTCATTGTAATTGTAATGTGAGGGAATGAAGAATTAGTTCTTACTCAATGGGTGTATGTCTGTTGTCCTGCATAATACAAATCCAGGAAGCGCTATAGTCTAGTTATTAGAGCTTGCTGAGAGGAAGCCTCTGGACTCTTCTGCATGTGTGCAATGACTTGCCGTGTAATCTTTGGGAAAGTCATTTATCCTTCTGGGCTGCTTGTTCCTTCATCTACAGAATGGGCATAACAATATATGTATCTTTATTGCAGAGTTTTGTGCTAAATGATATTTGTAAAGTTCTTCAAATCCCAAAGGGAAGGATGCTTTGGGAAGTACAAGTACCACTGCAATCAATAAAGTAATCTCATGCTTGCACTAATGCCTCTTCTGCCACTGATGCAACAGCATTTCTTTGGACACATAGAAATTCAAAAGTAGAATATTCTAACCAAAAATGTTACTGTACAATATTGTTTAGATTCTACATTATGATCAGATGTAGCTACAAAAGAATCCAATGTGTATCTACTCTAATTGTTTCTTCCTATTTCATAAGCAACATTTGGCAGAGCATTGGCTTCCATGAATGCTACCCATATAATTTTTTTCCAATTTCATAAACGCATTATGACAAGAACAGGAGAGGCCCAAGCATACTGTGCAACCTGCATTCTCTTATAAATGCACATGTCTTACGAGACTGCCAGCAAAGGACCCATGTGTGCATAAGTGTATGTGAATTTGTGGTGGGTGCAGTAATGTGTGCTCTATTCGTACGTGCTTAATTGCCTGCACCCTTTTAAAGTTTTGTAGACAAATTTCTCAGCAGCTTGAGCCTGAATTTTCTCTTATTCCAAAGAGAAGGAGCAGTTTGTCATCACAACTGCTGTGGTAATCATTAAACCTCAGTGACAGTAAGACAACTGCTTACTGTATGTTAATAAGTGTTGAAAGTGTCGCCAGTGCAGATGGAAGATCCCTTTTAAGTGGCCAGGACAATATAAATACTATATTATACTGCGGAAAAACACCTGCTAGGGAGAAGAATGGAAAACAGCTATTACACACACTGGTTAGATGATTATGTTGTGAAATGCAACAAAATCTGTGAAGATTCAAGCCAGATCCTGTGGTACATTGGGGCCAGTCTGCCTTCTGCTGCTGTAGGCTTCTGGCCATCAGATTGGCATGGACTGTCACAGCTGTATCATCTCCAGCGTGGCGAATGTGGCTGGGGAGAAGGTGTAGGCATGAAAGCTGTTTTTCCTTTATGCATGCTGATGTGAACGTACTGTACCAGCTTTCAGGAGTTACTCACAGTAAGCCTAACTGAAGCTGTTTTTACTTTAAAAGGCACTTAAGCATCTAAGACCAGGGAATAATGACAATAAGGATCAATAAATCTGTATTAGAGCTTGAGAAGGCCAAAGCCCTTTTAATAATTCATGTGCTTAATCTATTTCACACAAAAATTTTCTATCGTTAATATAAGACTTTTAATAGTGTGGTGGTTTTTTTTTTTACATTAGTACATCAAGAGAAATAGAACATGTTGCAGGAATTCAGGATAGATAGGAGGGGAAATGTGGATGAAAACCAGGGAAATAACCCCTGTGAATACACCTAGTCATTCTGATATATAAAATGTATCTTACACTGTAGTCATTTCACTAATCAATGTTACAAGAATATGCCATAAAAGCAAAGAAAAACAAGATACTCGTTAAAGATAAGTTGATGATCTTTTGGTGTCTAATAAACTTACTGGAACACTCACTCTCAGAAAATACTATTTATATGAATTTTCTTCCTTGGTGCGGTATTGCAATGCAGCCATTTTCTCCTGACTGCCTCCTGTCAATGCAGTAATGTGCTATTATGTGTGTGTACTGAGGGGAAAATAGGATCATAAGAAATTTCTGTTTGAAGAACTCTTTCATGTATTTTAGCCCATCATCACTGTGTTATTTCTAGTGTAAAATAAAGAAATTGAAAATAAATAATTTAAAAGGGTAACCTAACCTAGATTTTTTCTCCTTCCATTGCCTCACAAAAATTAGAGGCACTGCTTATCAAGTTAATAACATATTTCATGTCGTGTTTCATGTCATATTTCATTCAGACTAGATACAAGAAAGAAATTTTTCAGAATGAGGGTAGTGAAACACTGGAACAGGTTGCCCAGCGAGGTGGTAGATGCCTCATCCCTGGAAACATTCAAGAACAGGCTGGACGGGGTTCTGAGCAACCTGATTGAATTGAAGATGTCCCTGCTCATTGCAGGGAGGTTGGACTAGATGACCCTTAAAGGTCCCTTCCAAACCAAACCATTCTATGATTCTATATGTAGCATTTAAAAGTAAACATCCCACATTTGATAACTGAGATACTGATCACAGGACTGAACCTTGGAATTTCTATTTTTTTCATGTTCATTGTTTACTTACAAAGTGTTTATTTCTTGTAGAGGGGCTGGATTGTTGGCTGTAGCAATTCCCATTGCAATAGTGATCCATTCGGGAGTCTCAGAATGCAGGGACAGGTTGGGAAGGGGGGAGACTGCATTGTGATTGTAAAGCATGTAGGTACTAATTATCGCTCTTTGGATAATGGAAGTTATAGGCTGACACTTGATAATGACACTTCAGGCTTTTAGTTTTGGTAGGTGATACTGAGCTAGTGCTGATTTTCAGAGATGCTCAACATTTGACGTTTTCTAACTAAAGCCAGCATGTGAGCAACCAAGATGGAGGCTGCCTGATGTAAATCTAGTGGAGTGCTTGCAATGGGTTGTTGCTGTGCTTCCTGCAAAAGTCATGCTTTGTTCCCCTAAATTAGGTGTAATGCTTTATTATCTTGTACTGCAAATTAGAGAATGGCATATCTTTCTTAACCCTAATATTACAGGTCTAAAGGCAGTACAGTCAGAGTGGCCTCTCAGGTGTCATAGCAAGATGACAGGGTTATGATGTGGACATCTCGAAAATGATTCCAGTCTACTTCCCACTAATTTTTTTTTCACACTGACATCCCAAAGATGACCCAAGTAGCAATGCCTGTCTGAGCTTTTTTTGAAAGAATATTTGTAGGTCTCCAACCAGTTGTAAATCTCTTAGGTTTTAAAGTTGCTGTCTGTTATAATTTTTCAACTCAATTCCTTCTGTATAAAGTAGGGCAGATCATTATATAGGATACACTGGTGCAAACTTAGAATGATATGACTGACCTTGAGTTACTCTTGACTTTTGTTAGAGTAGCACAGATCAGAATATAATGCAGTCTTTCATTAAACAAGAAAAAAGCAAACTTGATCTTTCTGTAGAGAGACAACTGAAAATACACAGCTGAGGGACCAAATTTGCCATGAAATCATTAACTTACTGAGCTTTTTCATGCAGTCTCGAAGCCTGGTTTCTAAACTGAGTACACGCTGGTGTAGTTCCTCATAATCATAAGCACCAATTTCTTCCTGAATCCCAGTGAGGACAGTAGACAGATTCCTAATTTCCTCCTTGAACTGGGTGATTAATTTGGCATCAGTTTTGTATTGTTCCAGAACTGGGATCAGTGGCAGGAGCTCATCCATCTTTTCTTTTAACTCCTGTTAAAGGCAATCAAATGTGTGTTAGAGCAGTTTAAAAGAGTTCAATCCCCTTATTCCCTTTAATGTTATATTTATGCCTGATTATTAAAATGACTTGCAAATTATATTGATCTTAGTTACAGATCTATTATTGTGAAAGTCTTGGAAAACTCAGACTTAATGGTAGTAAGCAGTTGATAAAATGCGTGACAGAATAATTTTTCTACTGAAAGTACACAATTATATTCAAGTGATCTGAACCAAACCTGTTTGAAGGTCTGACTTTCTATTCAGAGGATATAAACCCCTGCCAAGTATGTCTTTCTTCACAGAAAGTGATTAGGCCTGAACACACAGTGATGTTCAAGGAGGTCATACCTGTTTTACAGTGCTGTTACAGTTGGTGAGCTGTTAATTGTATTTCACTTCTTAGAAATACTGAATTCATTTTTTTTCTCAATGGCTGTTGAACACTGTTTAGTTCTGTTTTGGCCACAGTGATATATGTAGCTCTTTCTTCTGAAGTAAAAGATCCATGGTTCTTAACTGCACTTTGTACTTGTCATCATGCTACGTCACTAGGTGCCTTTGAACTTCCTCAGTTGATCTCTCTTCTGGACTATCACAAATCGTTTTTTTGCTATGTGCAGTTGTTGTGTTGCCAATCCTATTCTTGAACATTGATTAAATAAAATAAAGCTTCACTTTGGAATGTCGGATTGCCCTTTCCTCAGACTTTTGCTGAGTCTCATACTTTGAGAATTTGTCTCGGTTTGCAACCTATATTGGCTGCTCATCTTTCATTTCTTAATTATTCTTTTAAATGCAGTAATCATAGGGGCTTTTTAAAATTTACACTAATTCTTTGAGGTTGTTTTTTATTTGGTTATTATTCTGTAGAAAACCTCAAAGAATCCTTGCAGTCAAAAGGTTTTGCTTTATTGAAAAGTGGACAGGTTTGTCTCTGATGTATCATCTGTGTATAGAGATTTGCTTATCTTTTTATAATTTGAGGAAACAGCCGGACTTCCATGAGCAAGTGCCATAGAGACATGATGAGATGCAAGCCTGGACAAAACAAGGCAAAGGATGGAAATAAAGATTTGTTAGGTGGTAACAGAGGTTGGGAAACAGATGAGGGCACACAGGGAGAGGTTATTGAAGGGGTTAAAAAAATCAAGTCCTGAAGAATAGCTGGAGTAGTCAGCAGGTTAAAAGGGAAGCATAAGAGAACTAAATGGAAGCCCAAGCACAAGAAAGAGGTGAAGAAGCAATTGTGGTTAGAGGTTAGTGTAGTCACTGAGGTGTGTGAAGATGTACAGTCTGTTACATCACCTGTATTAAAAGATGCAATAAACAGGGTAGGACATTTCCAAAATAAATAACATGGTGATGCCAAATGCATTTTTGCTATGGAGATGTGAAAGAAGCTGATAGGATTGGCATTTGAGCTGCTTGAATATCTACCTCTGAATTTTTGCCTCTTGAACATGTTCTAAGACGGCTTGAGAGTTCTGCAGTATCTCTTCATCACCTAGCTAATATAGCCATAATTTTTTAACAATTGCTTTCATATTGAAATTATTACTTACTCAAAATAAAGACTTACATGTGTTTTTAGGAAGTACATTTTGCACACAGGTCATCTTAATAGCTAGAAAATTGCATTTTAGATTATAAGCAGATATGTAATTATAAATGGATTTGAGAGTATTATTGACTCTATTCTCAAGGGGTCTTCCAATTACATTAGAGTAGCAGAATTACTGAAAGGGATGGGAAGAACTGGAGACTCTTTTGTCTAAAGTTAAAACTATTTTTATTTTACTATTTTTATTAAAAACTTAAGCCTTTTTTTCCTTGATGACAAAAAGAGTTAGGCTTTGTGACATAGAAGGCAGAGCTCCAGAAGCCAAAGTCTTTGTTACTACCTTTTGAAGTGATGAACTTGAGCTTCGGTTCTGTGGGGCAGTGAACTCCCCAAAATCATGGGTAAACCATGATGGAAAAAAATTGCAAAGCTTGTAAAAACTCAGGAAGATAAAATGTATTTAAGAGAATTAGTGAAGGTAACTTATTCCTGATAGGATTTATGCCAGATGAGGTATCATTTGAGCAAACTGCGGTAACTTTTTGTGGTGATCAGGTATCTCCTGCCTGGCATAAATGCTGATTTGACTGAAGTATGACCATATGCTCAAGTATGGATCAAATTTGTACTCTTTGGTTCTCATCAACATGGAACCGCAGCGTTAGACTATCTCACTTCAGTAAATGATATAAAGATGGTTTTGGTATTTTCATGGTCGAGAAAATAATTTTGTTTCTGCTGATACTTCTAGCTTGTTGCTGTGATGAGTGGTACAAGAACTAATTTGTATTGCAACATGGATAGGTGGTAGACATATTCTGCCTGCTGACATGAGGGGTTATGCTATATCCAGAATGAGTTTCTTTGTCTCGGGAAAGATAAAGCACTGGAATTTTAGTAGATCAGATTTCAGAAAGCCAGCAGTGTATTGTATTATGTTGACCTTTTAAATTACTCTAACTTAATTGGGTGGAAATCTGTTTTATACTCCTGGCAAACTGTCAAACTGAAGTTAAATAACTGGCCAATACAAATATCGAGTATTAAAAAGATTAGAAAGCAGAAGGTAGCAGGAATCTGCTACATTTGACATCGTGTATCAGACATTCAAATTCTGATATTTTGTTCCCAAGGAAAACAATGAGAATACAGAATATATAATGGCATTATACAAATGTGTTCTTATTGTAGCAAGGAGTGATGAAGGGGGAAAAAGGCAGAGATGTTCCTTACTACCTGAAAATAACTGGAAGTATGTGCTTAAACTCTAAATTAAGAATGATGACATAAAGAATAAAGTTTGGTAGTTAGATCATTAGTGTACTTAATTCCTGATATTATTAAGACCCATTGGATATTCAGTGTCTCTGAAAAATATATTAGACCTTTTAGCTATGTCATTGTTTAGGTATCTAACTTTAGCACCAATTAGAAAATTAAGTCAATTTTATGTGAACTTTCATACACTTTAAAAAAATATATTTGATTAACATAATGTAACCCTCAATGTATTTTCTAGATCCTATTTTGCTGTCTTGCAGTCTTGAAATATTGATTTATCAAATTTGATATTTAAAGAACTTAAATATGCTCTTGTACATTTTTCCCTTAAGTACTTCAGATAGCTTTTGTAGAATACACAGTGCTGTTTTGTAATCTCTGCAACCCACCTTCTTCACAAAAAGATTGGCTTGTAGTTTTTGTTATTAAAATTCCTTGGAAGTCTTTTTTTTAAGCACACAAATGTGACTGGGAATGATTGCCCTCCTCCCCATCCCAAATTCAAAATAGCAAACTTTCAGATATGCAATTAGATCTAATTGCACTGGATAAAAATTACAATAACCTGATTTATTATAAGCTTTCTTCCCTTCAACTGCAGTAAATGTCAGGCAACAGTAAAAGTGCGGAACTCTCTAGTTGTTTGCTATTAATTCCGTTGGATCCCCCTATTTATCACTAGAGCTTGAATAAATATAAATTTCTCAGTATGACATGCGCATTGATACAGAAAAAACAGGAATCTGTTTATAGTGACATTTCTCTAATGACTTAATAATTAATAGTTAACTCCCTATTACAATTAAATTGAACAGAGCAAAAGATTACCATCATAAAGGAAGATTTATTATGCTTTTCTTTTTAATTTTTTAATGTTGCTCTTGTGCGAGCATTTCAAGCTGAGATCTTAGCAGTTTGTGTGTTGCTGCTTAGTACATTGCTTCCAGCAGGCTTTCAAAGTTATTTTAATAAAACTTACTTGAAAATGCTTTGTCATTAATGTCTTCCGACAATTTGCCGAAACTTGGCCTTCAGCCCTTTCATTTGTGTTTCCATTTTTAAAACATACTGGAAATCCCTCTGAGTCCGTAGATTTAAAACTTCAATAGATTGGGACATATTCTGAACCTGTTAAAGAAGAACACTCTCTAAATGGACTTTTTATTGCTTTACTTTTTTTCATGGTTAGATAGTTAAATATCAGGCAATAAAATGTGCTTATGTCAACGCTTTGGTTGGGAGTCATTTATACCACAGTATAGTTTTCAATTCCATCACTGCATGACAGTACAAAAATTGGGAAACAGGGCTAACAGGACTGTCAGGAGCAAGACCTTGAAGCCATAAATGATTTGGACTAGCTTCTTTGAGGTAAAAAGAGAAGAGAGATCCTTTCAGCACCGTTATCAATGGGCTCAAAAAAGGCTGTTAGGCAGTGGAGAGTACTTTGATACTTGTAGTAGATGCTGACTGTTCTTCAGGATGTGCTGTATAGCACATGTTTCCTCCCAAGCACTTCAGGAGGGACAGGACTGAGATTTGGAGATTTTGGTTAGTATGAAGAGCAGGATTTTTATTGCTAGTAGGCATTTATATAATAGTTCAGTATAAAGAATTCATGAGACTGTCCAGAGATAGTCATTGGGGTGTGCCCATCATCAAACAGGTGTTTGCTCATGATTTTGTAAGTAGATATAAAACTAGAAATTTTATCTAATTGTCTCATTGGTAGGAAATTACATTTTTTTTTACAGATGAGAAGTAGTGAATGTTCAGGTAACTTATGTAGAGCAAGTGACTTTGTAGCTATAGCAAACGCTTTTACCACAATGAGGCAAAATAACTGTCATCTAGAGTAAATTATATATATTTTTAAAAGTATCTGTTATAAAGGCAATGCTTTTGCCAATCGTAAAAATGACACATTTTGTAAGTGCAGTTATGCTGTTTCAGTAAGTGTTTTGTTTTCTCAAAACATGAAGAAAGTAGACTGCTGTAAATGTATTAGGCACCATATTGACATTTTGGCTTAAGCAAAAAAAAATAAAATTCTACCTTCCTAATAAAAGACAAACCCAGCAGTATTCCTGTTGTTTGCAAGAATATGCAATGTTTGAAATGATATTCATGTTCAAAAATAATATATAGTGACCTACAGAATCTGTGGATTTAGGAAATTTTCTTAAAATACTCTTAAAAATATATATATTTAGTTACAGTAAAACTAAATATGTAGTTTATACATTAGTTACTGCACAGTTGCCATTAGCAGTTCTTAGAAAGTATTATAAATGGGGGGGGAAAAAAAAGTAATGTTTTTTTTCTTTGCTTCCTAATTGTTGGAAGAAGGCAAATAAAGTTCTTCAGGTATTGGAAGAACTTTGAGTGTTTCCATTTGGCAGAAGATGCATTCACATAGAGGCTCTAATTAAATGACTGCGTGGAATATGAAGTAATATGACATTATATACCCATAATTGCCACAGTTCTAATCGTAAGAAAATAGCTCTTAGAGACTGATGATTTAGGTTCTCTTCTGTGGCAGCTCAAAAACTATGTTGAGATCTTAACACCCCTCCAGCCACCACCACAAAAGAAAGATTGATTTATTTTTTTTTTACGTTAATATTTTAGTGTTTGGGAAATATGCTCAAGCAATGACTCTGGGGACTGAAGTCTTCCTCTGTTAAGTAAACAGGCAGCTTGAGGTGAGGTAGCTCCTCCTCTGTGTCCTGGCTCTTCAAGGTTCTCTCCCTGCATCTCATGCTATGGGCTCTGTCACAACCTGAAACTAAGTCCCTGCTGAAGCTTAAGGAAGTTTAGTGAGGGAAAACCTGTGGGGATCTGGCTCTGTATTAGCACTGGAGTGATTTTTCTATAGCTGGAAAAATACTGAAAATTGTATGCCAAAAAATGTATTTTTAATCCTACATTTTATGTTGCTTTCTGCTGCTGTTCAAACACTCTCTCAGGCCTCAGGTTCTGTACCACTGGCTGTGATACAATAGCTATAACCTTGGTTACTTATACAGGGAATGCAGAACAACAGTTTGTTTTCATGGTTGCAGCATTTTTTCCATTGTTGATGAAAAATAACACTTTACTGATTTTACTATGTATGCAATAGTGAATAATACTGGAAATAAGAACTGGGTTGTTTGGGGAAAATTTGCACCACCAGAGAATGAATGAATAGTATTATTTGAGGAAAGAACAAATGAAAAAAAATCAGAACCGTTTCTCTTCTGTACAGTCTGCTTTGCAGATGCTGTCATGTCTATATCTCGTTATTTGTTGATAAGAGACAAGGAATGACCTTCAAGAGTCATATGACTGAAGCAGAAGCTGTAGTTTAAATTCCACAGCAACTAGGTAGTTTGAGGTGGGATTTGTAACTTTTTACACAGAAAAAAATCAGTCCTGTCTGTGTGTAAGGACGAATTTCGGGAGGAGTGAATGAGAGAGAAGATGCAACTTCAGTTTGCTAGATAAGTGACTTGGGTTGGGAAAGGTGTGATATAAGGAAAATAGACAAATAATCATCAGTGGTGAAAACACAGGTGGGTGATATACCCTGAAGATATATTTTTATTAGATAATTCTACAGTACTCCATTATATATTAAACTTGGAGGGAAAGGAGTGGATTTGTGTGGGAAGTTTAGTGATCAAAAGGAGGAATTTGTTGGGAAGACTTACCTTCTCAAGCAGTTGTCTGAGTTGCCTGCTTTTGGCATCTCTTGAACATAGGTTTTGTTCAGGTGCAACAACAGTGCAAATGCAACGGCCATCAGGATCCTGGGCTGAACTATAAACTTGCCACCCTTCCTTGGGGCTAATCTGAGTCTGTAACAACAGAATGATAAAAATAAAGGGAACTGAACTGATTGTTTGAAAAACCAGTACCTCAGAATATTTGTATCTATTTTTGCAGTATACGTTTGCAATGAGGTTCCTCCTAGTTGACACTTACTACATCTCTTCAATTAGATTGGTGGTTTTGCACAGTTTTGTCATATCTGACACCTTTGTAATAGTTCTCTAGAAGTGTCCAGCACACATTGTTTCCAGGGTGGATGAGAACAGTTTTCTGCTTGTGATTCAGCACAAACTACTTGATTTAATTCTTTGCAAAGGGATGTTACAGTTTCTCATCAGCAGAGAACATGTCCTTTCAGCCTGAATGACTTTTACTTTAGACTAATGGAAACAACAAAGACAGAAAAGAACAAATATAAAACCCCAAAGAGAGAGCACAGTGGACGTGACTGACACGTTGGGAATTGGCTCAGCAGCAGTTTGGGATGTGTGGTAGCAGATTTGCTCTTAAAGATGCAGGCCACAGAAAACTGTTCTCCATTGATTTCGGCTGCACGTACACCGAAGGGAAGAAAGGCTTTCTGCAGGGTAGTACTGAAACATATCTGGTTAGTTTAGGTGAATGGGGGTCACGGCAAGCATGGCACAGTGCAATTAAGACATTGCACATCCTTCACTGGGACAGAAGAAATCTAGAAATTCCGAACCTGTTCTTTTTTTACAGCAACCATGGCTGAGGAAAAAAAAGCAAAATAATCACATGTACTTGGAGAGCAAGCTAACACTGCAGTGCATTTAAGGTTTGTGTGATACCTTGTTAGACTAGGTATCTGTCTATTTAGTGGGATGTATAGAAATACACCGCATAAGAATAAGAGAAAGCAATATAATTAGATGATTGAAAAGATTCAGGTGATGGAATTAAAACTAATGGACACAAAAAGTAATTTTTTACTTCCTTTTTAAACGGTAATTTAAAGTTAATATTATTAATATTTCCTAATGATATAGTATTGACTACTGAATTTCATAGTACAGATGCTAATGGCTGCCATTGAAGTAATTTTGGTCTGGACACAGTTGGAATAAATTGCTACTTACATTATAAAATTGTACTCAGTGTCAGCACAGAGAGTGATTATTTAAACTGGCAAACTTCAATATTGATGCTTTACTGGCAGCTTAGTGCAGAGTAAGTTGGGGAGTTCCTCACCTCAGAAAAGGTGCAATATCTCTGTAGAATGAGGTTAGAAAAGAGCACAGACTTTTCACAACAATGACTCTTCTGAAGAAGTCATTGAAGGTAGCAGTGACCTGTCCTACTGCAGAGTTAATTGAAAAATCAAAATGGTATTGTTCCCCTGTTTTGCAAGGAAAAATAAAGTGTCATAATGTAGATGACTGTAAAAAGAGGACAGCTGAGCTTGGCTTAGAGTTTGCTAGAAAGATGTATCCTGAGTTCAGTGCTAAATTATACTGCCTCTATGGTGTTCTCTTCATCTTAATTTTTAGGGCAAAGGGAATCTAGTTTAAGACATGGAGAGCAATAAAAATGAAACAAAATTATATCTGCAGAGACAATTTAAATTGGTTTTGAGCAGCAACTAAAATTGCAAGCTTGAACAAGTGAAGCCTCGCAAGGCTGGTAACCCTTGTGAAGTGTGAGCTCTATTCACTCCAGTCCTTTCCATGGTCCTCTGTAGAACTTATGCCCAGGCAGTGTTGTCATGCAAGAGCAAGGAAACAAATTTTTGTTGAAGTTCAGGAACCTAGAGCCTGTGATTATAGTTCCTTTAGGACAGAAATACTTAATATGGGTTTATGAAAAATTGTGATATTTGAGCCTCACACGTGCTACATTTAGATTGGCAGCAACTGGTTTTACTGCATTCAAGTAAGTTTTCTACAATGGATCATGCACGGCCTATAGTAAAGCCATTAAAATCCAGGCTGTGTTATCAAAGGTTCTTATATATTCTAGTGATGTCACGAGTGTCCCTCTCAGCTTTAAGGAAAAAAAAAACTTTATTGATTAACTTAGCAGACCTTTTCTTACAGCTTCTAACATATGGCTTGATTTAAAAAAGTAACTCCCAGCGGGAAACAGGCCCAATATGAGTGTGTGCATAAATAAGCGCTTACATAGTACACCTACAATTTAGGCTATAGGTATTTTGTGGTTCCCTTTATTTGGGCCAGTAGGGTTCCTTCATTAATTAGGATGGGTAATATGAGTGATCACAGAGGAAAAAAAAAGGCACCTGTGTGTAAGGGCACATCGCCTTTTTTTTCCCCGTTATTTTTTTAGTTTGACATTTAATCCCTACTTCAAGCAGGAACTGCTGTGCTGTGCAGGGAAAGA